TGTCCAACATTATACTCACCATCCTGTGGATAAAATCTGTTAACTAGCAAGCCAGCAGTGCTACCTGACCCAAGAAGCATGGAATGCATAAGAAGAAGCAACACTCAAATGTTAAATCTTTTAGTCTACTATGAGGCACTATTATTTTCAGTCTTGTAGAGACTCACACTGGAGCAGTGAGATTTCTTAAAACAGTTCTGCAATGGAACGTTTTCAACAATGTCAGTTTATTCCTAATGTCTTAGAGCAGTGGTTCTCAACCTTTTTGGACTTGAGGTACCCCTCACTGGACTTGAGGACCCCCTCCATAGCTTTTGTGAATTTCAAAAACTGATTTATGGATTACAGTACTTACTTTCTTGCAGAGGGGGACTTGCAGTGGGGATGTGAGAGTTGTCCAGGCAGGAACAAGCCTGAGCCTGTGCTTAGCTATTTAGTTTATCTCCTAACACCTCACTTACGTCCTTATACCTAATGGCACCCTTGAAAAGACCTGGCAGCATCCAAATTCTAAACTTTATCAAAAGTTGCTTTTTTACACACCTGAACTTGCAACAACTTTGAGTGGGTGAGGTTGTCTTGACTGGATACCTTGACACAACACTTGCAGATATGGACTGTAAACTTGACAAAAAAAAATGATAGCTACTTGCAGTCAAATCATTTTGTGATCTATACTGGGAATGAAATTTGCCTTCATTGTCTTGAGAATAAATGCGAACTTCAAAGTGTGTACTGCCCTTCAAGAGAGATCCCAGAATGTGCTTTTTGCAATGCTCAGAAAACACCAAATACTTTCAAAATGGTGTGAGGAAAAGGAACACATTTATACGTTCAGGAGTATATTTAACAGGCAAAATATGTTGATTTAAGAGAATTTAACTCTCTTTAAAACCATTCAGTCTCTATTTCCTGTTCAGTTGAATATAGCAGCCTTGTCACACCTCCCAAAGTCTCAGTTTTAACATTATTCCATAGCAGAACTCCTGTCTTTTTAGCTAAGAGCAGTCTCTGTGCTTTGTGTTGTCTAGCGTGTGATTTTTTTGTTGGATGCTGAGAGATTCAATTGTTTTACGTGCCTGTTGAAGCTGAATCTTTAAAGCTTCATTTTCTGCCTTTAGAATGTTTCTTTCCTAAACAAAAACAGAGAAAGGTCAGTGTCATCAGAGCAGCACTGGATTTCAAATTAATTTCAACCCTGTCTGCAGGTGCACTTGATTGACATTTCATATTTTCAGTGAGAGTATATTTAATTCTCTCCAAAGGGTTATTATGCACTGACCAAAAAATGATACATTGCAGACACAAAGATCAACATGAGCAGACAGTTAGCTTTCTTTTTGTATTTTTCAAAAATGTATATGACTACCTTGCAAATGAACCATTTTAAGCTCAGAACCAGTATTGTTCAGCACAATGTGCAGTTTACATTTATTCTAGTATATTTTCCACACAACCATCATACAAAAGATGCTAGGGGAACATCTGGAGGAAGAGGAAGTGTTTCCCAAATAAGGATTTAGGCAGACAAGTTTCTTTGGGTAAATGTGAAATCTTTTATTAGACTTTCCACCCAGGAGAGCACAGAGAACACCAGCAGACTCTCCCTATGCCTGAAGAAGGGTGTTTGTGCCTGAAAGCTTGTAAAGAATAATTTTTCCAAGTATTTAGTTGGTCTAATAATAACAGATATCATATTTACCCAAAGAACCTCGTCTGCCTATGTCCTTAAACCAACACAACCTACAACCAACGATCCGAAATAAGGATTGGAGCCTATCAAGAGGTAGTCAGAGCTTTTCTCTTGGTGTCACTGCTCACTGGAGACACTGGACTATTTGAACCCTTGTCTAATTGCTTCTCTTTCCCATGCACTAATACTTAGCAGCTGATTGATTGCAAACTGTCTTTTAACCTTGCTTGCCTGAGACTTTTAGCATTGATCAGACCTAAGGTTTTAATCTTCACAATTTTCACTTGAGTTGGTTGACTTTGGTGATACAAGGGGAAGCTTGTGGTTGAAGCACTGGCCAGCAACTTAGATCTGGATTTAATTTCTACCTGTGCCACAAATTTCCTGAATCAGCTGCTCCATTTCTCTGCCTCAGTCCTCTATCTGTGAAATGAGGTTAATAACATTGCCTTCTTCCACCTAAAATCTGGTCTCGCTCAACTCCTAGTGAAGACTAACTTTTTCTTTTGACTTCAATGTAGGGTGGATCAGGTCCTTAGCTTGTTAATGGGCCAGATAAAAACAGTTCTTTACCATTTAGGTCTCTGGCAGATGTTACATTTGAGATGCAATTAACCAGTTAATCACATTAAAGTGTAACCTGGCCACATGTTCAGGTACTCAGTGGCGCAAAAAATGTGTCATAATTATGTGGTTTGTTTCTGTCATTCCTTAAAATGAATGGGGCATGGTTAGGACTGCATCAGGGCTCAACTGGGTTTTGGTGCAGTCCCTGCTGGCCAATCAGCAGAACGTGTACCACGGCTGGTTTGAGCTTTAGTGCAGTCCTGATCCAGCTGATGATGAGCTGATCATCGACTGACTCCAGGGGCTCAAACTAGCACTGTGGGTCCCTGGAGCCAACCAACAGTCAACTGATTCTTGGGTACCTTTGCCAGTGAAGGGGGAGCCTGGGATCATGTTCCTGGGCTCCCCTGCACTGGCAAGTAGGGTGTGATTGCGTTCTGATCCCCAATACCAAAATCATGCCTCCTGCCATACATACGTGGCATAGCAGAAAGCATGATTGTTGGAACTGCACGGTACCTTGCCGGTAATCGATATCCCATTCGCAAGAATAGCAATGGATGTGGTCGGGCCATTACCCCGCAGCAGTGCAGGCAATCGATACATCTTAGTGTTCGTGGACTATGCCATGCGATATTTTGATGCGGTACCATTAAGAACCGTAACAGCACCCCGAATAGCGGAGGAACTCGTAAAATGAATCGCCCGAGTAGGAATACTGCAAGAGATTCTGATGGATCAGGGCCGTAACTTCATGTCAGGGGTATTAAAGGTGGTGTGCCAAACATTGAAAGTCAGGCAACTCCACACGTCGATCTACCATCTGCAAACAAACAGATTGGTTGAAAGACTTAACGGGACCCTGAAGAGAATTTTATGCCAGTGCATACAGGGGGACCCATGAAAATGGGACTTGCTTCTCCGCTATTCGTCCTTAGAGGCACCCCTTTGGAGTCCCTGAAATATTCACCATTTCAGCTGGTACTGGGGCACCGTCCTTGGAGCTTGCTGCAAATACTGAGGGAAGACTGGGAGCTTCCTGCCACAGTGGCTCAAGACCCCACGATGTATCGGCAAGCCTTCCAATGCCGAGTACAGCTGGCCAGAGACATAGCCACAGAGAACTTACGGCAAGCCCAACAGCAACAAAAGGAGAAGTACAATGCGGACACCAAAAGACGAGAGTTCCAGCCCGGGCAGAAGGTGCTCATACTGTTGCCTACATCTGCCAGTAAGTTATTAACACATAGATTCATAGATGCTAGGGTCGGAAGGGACCTCAATAGATCATCGAGTCCGACCCCCTGCATAGGCAGGGAAGAGGGCTGGGTCTAGATGACCCTAGCTAGATGCCTATCTAACCTCCTCTTGAAGCCCCCCAGGGTAGGGGAGAGCACCACCTCCCTTGGGAGCCCGTTCCAGACCTTGGCCACTCGAACTGTGAAGAAGCTCTTCCTAATGTCTAGTGTAAATCTGCTCTCTGCTAGCTTGTGGCCATTATTTCTTGTAACAAGCTAGCAGAGAGCAGATTTAGGGGCAATTGCAGGGGCCTTTCAAAATAACCAGGATGGTAGGCCCTGTAGACGATGAAGTCTATAGACCATGCCACCTTCGGACCAAGCAGATTTTCCACATTAACCTCCTACACGAATGGCAACAGCCCAAGGGTTGGGCCACCTTTCTGGAAGATGGGTCAGAGGACCTAGGGCCCCGAGGGAACAAAGCAAGACAGGAGAAATTAGACCAACCAATACGTGTTGGGGAGAACTTGACGACCATCCAGAAGGGGGAGATACAGATGCTCGTTGCAGAGTTTAAAGACACATTTAGGGAGGAGCCAGGATGGCTACAAGGCACATATCACTCAATTTGCACAGGCACAAAATCCACCAGGCACCATAGTACCGAGATCGATGGCAACCCATACCGCACCACCTCATAAGTGCCATACGGAAGGAAATTGAGAAGATGCTAGAGCTGGGCGTCATATGGCCTTCTTGAAGCCCCTGGCAGAGCTCTCTCATACCGGTACCCAAACCAGATGGTACCCTGAGACTTTGCATAGATTACCGACGCCTGAACGAGATAGCCATCTTCGATGCCTTCCCCATGCCCCACATCACCGAGTTAGTGGAGCGAATTGGCTCTGCCAAATTCATATCCACCTTAGATCTAGCAAAGGGGTATCAGTGACCCCACGGGACTGGCCCAAAACCACCTTCGGAACGCCATGGAGTTTGTATGAATTCCTACGTATGCCATTCGGGCTGCATGGCGCCGTGGCAACATTTCAATGCCTAATAGAGCAGATCCTGGCCCCCCACGCAAGTTATGCTGTGGCATACATTGATGACATCATTATTTTCACGCAATCCTGGACACAACACCTACAGGCGTTAAAGGCGGTACTAACAGAACTACGGAACGCAGGCCTAACAGCCAACCCCAGGAAATGCGCAATAGCGCAACAACAGACGAAGTATTTAGGGTAGGACAAGGAACCATCAGGCCACTAGCCAACAAGGTTGAAGCCATTCGGAAGTTTCAGACCTCTCAGACCCCCCAGGCAACTCTGGTCCTTCCTGGGCTTAGTTAACTACCACCGCCGCTTTGTACCTCGGTTCTCCGAACTAGCGGCCCCATTATCAGATGCTGTAAAAGGGCCCTCCGGGAAAGGGATTAAGTGGACAGAGAAAATGACTAGAAGTTTCCAGCTATTGAAGAAAGCCCTGTGTGAGGATGTAGTCATACATGCCCCTGACTTCAAAAAATCTTTTATGTTACAGACAGATGCATTGGAGACAGCTATAGGGGCTGTGCTGATGCAAGAGGATGGCGGAATAGAAAGACCGGTGGCCTATGTGAGCCGAAAACTTACCCACAGAGACGAGGTACGCCACGATTGAACGGGAATGCTTGGCAATACAGTGGGCGGCGGAGTACTTCAGATACTATTTAATGGGTCGAGAGTTCACTTTGGTAACAGACCACGCCCCACTAAGATGGCTCAGTACAGCAAAAACAGACAACACCCAGATTATGAGGTGGGCCCTGGCTCTCCAACCCTTTAAATTCCAAATAGTACACCAGCCGGGAATAAACAACATAACGGCGGATTTTTTGTCTAGATGTGATGACACATCCCAAGACGCCATGGAAGGACAAAAACAGATGGAAGTATAGGAACGGACAGGTAGGACAACAATAACCCTGAACAAACCGCCCCAAGGCAACTTAAGAGGGGGGTTATGTCGCAGGGAAAAACAAAAGGGAGGACCCCAAAGTGCAAGGGGGGAACCCCGGGAACAGGAATCCTTAGAAGGACAGGGGGGGAAAGAGCAAAAGTAAAGGGGAACGCTCACCTGCAGCGGGACCCGTGGCGAAGCTGGAACACGGGGAGGAGCCCGCGCGGCTCATTAGCTGTGCCTTCACACACCTGCAGCCAGCCAGTGACGTTAGCAGCGATCACCAGCCAGCAGAAATAAAGCGGGCCGCTGGCAAAGAGGCAGGGGGAAGATGGACACCGGCAGGAGCACCAGACAAAGGGGCCTCTCCCAAGCTCCCGAGGGAGCAAACGGAGCTGGAGGCCGTTTCCCCCGGTAGAAAAGGATCCTGCTGCACCCACTGTGAGCCAGAGACTGCTGGCTGCAGCAGCGAACTAGAAGCGGTTGCTCCCGTCCGGAAGTCTGGAGAAAGGGTGGAGGGGCACGGAGGGACCCCGAGTCCAGTGGCTGCTGCAGAAGGCTTGAAGGTGCTGGCCCACTACCCGGCACCAGACCAGGTGGGACCATGGAGGGCACCGAGGCAGCAGGAGAGGTGCACCAGGTGGAAGACGAGAGGCCAGGGCAGCACAAGACACTGCGAAGCTCGGACCTTGGGGGCGTATCGCCAATCCCGCAGGTGACGGGAGGACACGTATCCACTGTAGGGTCCCAGGGGGCCTGAAGATATAGAAGGCAGGGCACCGCAGGAGAGGATGGGTGGTGGAGACCACAGGATCTCATGGCCATGTATAGGGCCTAGCATGGCCCCATAAGAGTCAGGGGGTGCGATTAGGCCTAGGGGGCCTGGCGTGGGGGCAGTTGGGTCCCTTAGACAGTGTCAAAAGGGGTTTTTTTTGCATTTTGTGTTTCCCACTTTTGGAGGGGTTGCGTGTCAGGGCTCGGGGAGCCTGATTGTTTCGTAAGCCTCAGGATCGGGGTTAGCATTAAGGAAAGGCTGCAGCCTCAGAGACCAGGGAGGATGCCATAGGCTGCCAACACCTTCAAAAGGGTGGGGCGGGGATTCACCCCTACTATAAGGAATTAGGGACTCAGCGCTCGGGAATATGGCCACAAGGACAGCAGTGACCTGCCAAGGCTGGGTATAAGGGCAAGGTAGAGGGGAGGTGGAGCCTCGCAGAAGAACGCCAGAGACATTCCGCCCCCGGGGGAATCCGAATGGTCTGACCCTCCACTGAAATAAGATTCAAAGTCATGGCAGGCGAGACTCGGAGGACCACATCGGAAGCGGACACCAACTCGACGGACCACCCGGGGTGACAAGGCGGACACCATCGAACATTCGGACCAAAGCCGCACGTGACCGGATGTTCGAGGCCAGGCAGGCACAGTAGGTTTCTGCAAAGAGATCCCGCATCATCTAGAGGTTTTCCTGAGTGTGTGCAGGGATGATGCAGTTGTCGGCATACTGAAGGCCAAGGCTGGTTGTTTTGAATACTTTGGTCTTCAAAAGAAAACAACCCAGATTGAATACCAAGTGAATGGAAGGCTTTTCAGTGTCCATTCTGGAAAGGATGTGGTCCCTAACAGGAACCAGGATGACAGTCAAAAAATGAATAACAGAATTGGAGTGATGATACATCCTTGCTTGACCCATTTTGATGACAAATAGATCTGTCTCTGATCTGCTACAAAGGATGGTTTCATTCATCTGGTCAGGGACAAGCCTTAGGACCTTGATGTATTTTTCAGGGCATCCAAATCTGGCCGGTACTTTTCACAAAGTACTCACAAAGTAAAATTGGTACTTTTCACAAAATACTCACCTTTCCCTACATCCAGGGCATAGAGTCGTGCAGCTGACCCTCAGTTTCCTCACTAAGTCACAAGAATACTGAAGGAGAAAGAATGGGTTCAAGTGATGGGATGCAAGTGGACAGGACATCTCAAGCAAGCAGTTACTATAAGGTTAATAACCATTTGTTCTTTAAGTTTTTCCAAATCCATCCTACTGTTGTTGGCTCACAAGTAGGAATGTACCCAGAAGGAAGTTCTGAGGATTCTTACCCACCAAATAATTTCAAAATCAGCTCTGGCAACCAGGTAAGTGTTTAACAAATACATGTGGAGAACTCTGTGCTACTCCCCTACCAGCCCCTGAGGGGCTTATACAAGGGGACATTTCTAGAAATATTCAAGGAGCTTGAGCTCTCGTTAAGCAAAAATGCCCAGAAGAGAGAGACCCGTTACACTGTAGCAAACAGAAATACTGTGAATATCCCATTTTGAGAGGTGGAGATCCTTCACAACAGTCCTTAATGCTTCAAACAGGTGAATGCTTTGGTCCTTTGGAGCCAAGTATAATCAGGCTCTGGAAACAACCACGTCACGGAGTTTAGTTTGCCCAGAGATAGAACAGTATTTAACAAAAAATATGAGGGAGTAAATTTACTGATTTAAATAAAGATTTATAACAACTGTGAAAATAAATCTTTCATGAGGCCTGGGGCTTATATGTTGACTTTATGGAAGACAGGTTCTGCCATGAGGACTTGAGTCTCACTTTTCCTCCTGACAGAAAAAAATGGCTATCAGAAAGATTACTAATAATTAATTCAATATCAAAGTGAGTATGGCTGCATTGCACTACCAATCTATGTTACAGTATGTTTTCAGCTACAAACTATAATGCCCTTTTCTGTTCTTCCAAAAAGAAAAGTGGAAACAGAACACTAAACTCCACTCAGTTGACTTAGGTTATTGGTGGACATTTTGACTTCTGCATATTTTAAGCTTTTGTAACCTGAACACTATGTTAAAAGCTTCCTGGGAAGACTATTTCAGGGTTGTCTTTAGCTAGAAAGACTTTTTGGCAAGACAGCGTTTATCTGGCAGCAGCATATTTATTACAGCGTAATGGCTATTTTTCTATTGTGGAAACACTCTCTCTCTCTCTCTCTCTCTCTCTCTCTCAAATTAGAATTTCCAAACTACTGTACTGGCTGTATTAGACTATATTCCTTAAACTAGATGATTACGTTTACTGAGTAGAAGCTTCAGCTTGATAACCTTATTGGGCAAGGGGTTCACCCACGGATATGAAGGCTGGAAGAGATTGTTGTGATAATTTCATCTGACACCTGCATAGGAACTTCACATAAACGTGATCACACAATCATATAAAATTAAAGTTGGAAGGACCCTCAGGAGGTCATCTAGTCCAACTGCCTGCTCAGAGCAGGACCATCCCCAACTAGAAATTCTAGATTGAAACTTTATTTAGTATTTTCTTTACCACATGAAAAATTAAATGTTTTTTTCTTCACTGATTGTTCCAGTAGTTAATTACCTTGGCAGCATCAAGGAATCATGATGTGATAGTGAATTATATTGTCATAACCACTTAAAGCCTCTTACAGTGCCATTGCTGTGCAAAGGAAAATTAGGCCCTTGAATAGGTACCTGTTCAAGTTCCTGGTACGAAGGTTTGCAAATGCGCCACTCTTCTTTTATTTTCTGGCTGGATTCTTTGTTATCCCATTTCACATAACCTTTTTTGCGGCTTAAAATTGGGCTTGGCCATGGTGATGGTGATGGTGGGGCAGGCTGTAGATAAAAATTTTCTGATGGTGTCCTATGCTCCTTCTTCTCCATCAGCCAAAAGGGTACATCACTTGTCGTTAATGCTGCCTCAGTTTGTGTGCCTTTATGAACTACTGCTGGTTTCAGTCTTACTGAGATTTTTTGTGCTGAGACACCCATAAGCATAATTGTTCGATCCTTACTGTCTTCATTGTGTTCATGCACTTCTCCATTAGGAAATGAAAATGGTCCTTCCTCCTGCCCTACAGGACACAAAGAGCAAACAGAGTTAACAAACTGGGGACAAGGTATGTAGGCCATAATAATTCATTGTCCCTTTTTTGAATAAGGAAAATGCCATATTTAATCTTAAGCAGTTATTATAGTCACATCTGTCGAATTTGCTCTATTAGCATAGGTTTTCAAACTTTTTCCAGGGTATGGGCAGCTTCCCTCCCATTCACATGAAAAAGCTGTACATACTAGTAAGTACTTGCATAGGAAAGCACTACAAGGGAGGTGTTATTCAGTTTAATTGTTTTTAACATAGTGTAGCAATGTGGGACTAGAGAGGTCTCTGGAACACTAGCAAGTTCTTCACAGACCACTGGTAGGTGGTCAATGCGCTAGTGACTAACTTGGAAATAAGATTCCTGAGCTTTATTCTTAGTTCTGTCCCCAACTCATTCTTTGGCCTTAAAACCCCCCCACAAAAAGTCACATAATCTCTCTTTATATCTTACAAATCTACAAAATTGGTATAATTACATACCTTAATTTTGAAAGACAAGGATTCTTTATGATACTGTGGCAATAGGGATTGCACACAGTCCCTAAGTACCCTGGGAACACTGGCCAACCCAGAACAGGTCGGGCAGGGAACCCTGGGAGAAAAGGGAAACTTGCCGGAAGAGCCAGGGCCAAAACCACACATGGCGCCACCACCACAGTTTATAAGCTCCATGTCAATCAAACTAGGCAGCGCCAGGCTGATGACATTAGCTGCCAGCACCACCATGGAAGATTTAAAAGGCACCAATGATGGTGACAGAAAGAGAAGAGAAACTGCCTCCAAGCCAGCAGAGGCCAGGGCAGAGAAGGTCTTAGGGCACCGAGGCAGAGTGGGGGTAGGGCCATGAGAGCTCTATTAGCCCTGGGCAGAAAGGCCCCACCGGGCTGGAGCTGGTACTATGGGTCCAGCTGAGCCCAGGGATCAGCACTCATAGGGAGTGAAGAAAACCATATAAACACAACACAGGCACCAAGCCCTGAATTTACAACTCCTCCAGAGTGGAGGGGTTTTTTTATGATTGCATTGTTTTTTATTTTTTTGAGAGGCCATAGGGGTCAGGGCACCAAAAGTCCCCTATCTAGGCCCACCATGGTAAGCCATGCATAGAGGGCAGGGAACAGGCAGCTGGCCATAAGAGGCCCAGGGAGACCCCATCTGGCCCAGGCAGCAATCCACAGGGGAAGTGGATATGGGACATCAGTGGACAAATACCGAGACTGGATAAGGCCAAAGTCACCACAAGCCTCAACATCGATGGGTGGCGTGTAGATGGGGTGTAGGGGAAGCAAAGCCCCAACATCGACTGAATCAAAACCGTGAGTACCCCCAATGGGGGCATCCGTATATACATCACTTAACCCCTCCTTAGAATTCTATTAACATCAAGTCATGGCAGGTGAGTCGAAGGTGGAGAGTCTGCTTTGGGTATTCTACAGACTAACCACTGGATAGGTAGTGGCATGACAGATATGTTTTGCTGCACGAACTGCATAGTTGGGAGAGCTGTTGGAAAATCTTTTGGGCATCAAGTGCCCTTCCTTGAGTATAAGTTAATAATTCTATAATTACCAAAAAGTACTATAAGTTAGAAAGCTAATTCTATAATTCTTTAGAGATGTTGATATCAGTTCCAAAGTTAAAATAATAAATGAAAGCAGGAGAGATACGGGGTTGCAGGGTTCAGAGAGATGCAAGTTACACAAGTTGCAAAGAAATTTTCTTCAACAGCTCAGAGATTATGAATATTGATAAAATGAGGCTGCAACTAGATCTGTACATGTATGTGGAAAGAGGAAAGAAAAGAGGTGTGTCTGATACACTATCTGACTGTGGCAAATGTGACACTAGAAAGTAGGAACAACAATTTATGGCTTTTCTTTTAAATGAATGGAGAGCTGGTGGAATTATTTGAGGCTGTAGCTCTGGTCCTTTGATTGTGGGACTAGGTAGAGATGAGTATCTGCATGAGCTGGCATATGGAAAGGTGGACCAGAAGGTGACCATCGAGAAGGCAAGGGAGGCACAGGTAAGAATTAGTACAGCTGAGGCACTGATGCAGGAGAATGCAGTGACAGGTAGATTTGCAGATAGAAGATGTGCAAAAAGAAAGGCACATCAGAAGGTACGAGTCAGAAAAGGAAGAGCCCCTGGCTTCATTCAAGAGAAGCATGTCTGCCTTTGGATATTTCAATGGTGAAATCTAAGATTAAACCATGTTTCTTTGGTCAAGATAGGTAGGAAAATGTGGGCATGAGAAGTCAGTAAAAGCACTGAAAGATCTGCACAGCTAAGAACTAATATTAAAGGGTTAGTCTAGCTTAAGGTGTTATGAGTTCAACTGGGAAAGTGAAGAAACCTAATGCAATTACAGTTCTACTTTCTTGATGTACAGATAAACATGTGAGTTAAAATTAGAAACACAAAAACGAAATTTTAGTTCAAAGTTCTAACTATGAGCCACTTGTTTAACGTAGCAATCGCTTCCTGCCATGGGATAAACACTAGAGCACACTTAAGACACAAGATGGCACAATGAGTTAACCCATCAGTCTTTCATTTTTAGGCATCTATATTCAGATTTTCTTTGAGTTAAAACTCACAAGAATTTGAAAATGTCTCTGTTCAACAATTTGTTCACTATACAGTTCAGCAAGACAGGAGGCCTCTGTTCAGGGAATGACCCAGACCGAACTAGGAGCAGCAGTTCTAGGTTGAGTAGAATTTAGCAATATTCTGGGCAGGCTGAGAGGTACCCAAAGCAAGGTTTGCTTACAGCTGGTTTTCAAAATGGTTAGCCAGAGTTAATCCACAAAAAAAAAAGATATTTAATTAAAAAGTCTTCTTAAGGTGGAACATGATGAGTCCCATATGTAATAATCATTTTGAACTTAGTTATCTGAACTTACCATGGAACTGTTCTTTGACCCCTATGGGGCAGAGGCTAGAAGCAAGCGCAGAAGTTGGGCTGTTATCTGAAGACATACTTCTGGACCTTTTCTTGCATTCAAATACAACCAGGTCTCTGCATTGCTTATGACAATTCATTCCACAGTCTGTAAACAAAACAAGTCTCGCATGTGTTAGTGGTTTTGCTGCTGCATCTGAAAGCAGGTCTTATATCTCTTCAGGAAGCAGTAGACCTCCTCTTACACTCCGCATTCAGACACCATATGAAACCACAGGTTACATGTAGACCCTGCTGCATCCCTGTGCCTTATACTAGTCAAACCACTTTCATATTGAAGCTATCCAATGGTAAATATTCCATCGGAACACAATACAGTGGTATTAACTAGGATTTAATAAAAAAGCATCAAATTGTCTTCTCTCATTCAAAAGCCTGTAGGAAGGCAGGCACTTGGGTGAGGAAAATTTTGTGAGAATTCCATTGTCAAGTATCTCCCCTTCTCCCCATGCAGTTTAGTCAGGATTTGGGTTTGCTTTCCTGTGGGACAAAAGAGTCCACCCCTACACTCTGTGAATCCTGCGGAGTTTACAAAAGGGGTGGGGGGGGCTTTTGGGGTTCTGTGACTTCACATAGACTCCGGGCCATCTACCCCTCCTTCAGCTGTCATGCTAGGGCTTCTTATGTCACAGATGTCTTTGGGATCTGCCCACTAGCAAGGACAGACAGAGGTAGGGGCATCAGTGAAGGAATATCAGCAGACAATCAAAGTCTGGGGTTCTTTTCTTGTTTTGATCACCTTTAAACTGCATTAAATGGGTGGAGCATAAAAGTAGTAATTACCTTTGCACCTATATCCTTGTTTAATGACTCCCCATAGCTGGAATTCAAACAAACAAAAAAAGGGTAATTGTATTAAGATATTTCAGGTAATCTGGGTATGTAGGATTTCCTGCAAAAAGCATAACAAAATGACAAAAGCCCCACCCAATTGTTTTATTCTGTGCCAGCAAATCTTGGCCTTCTGCCCATGTCTAACAGAAAGGGTACTGATCAGAAATGTGTGCCATTCACCTCCGCAGCAGAAGCATTAATCAGGTGGCAGGCTGAACTTTTACCTGTTGCTGCTCAGAGTTCATAAATAAAATACTTTAGTTTAAATCTAGTGTCCCTCGTCTGCAATGGTACATGCTTGCATAGAATTTGAATTCACTGCAATTTAGATAAATTTTCCATAGAGATTCTGGAGTAGTTCAGGTGTTCCAGGTCAGCTCCCCGGCTGCTGAAGCAGAGCATAATCATCCCATAATTGCATGGCGTTGATCTCAAAGATCAGTTATTGGGGAATAGTGGTGCACAGTTTGCCCAATCTTGCTAGCCAGGAAGTGCATTATATCTGTACTCGACAGGACTAACTCCAACAGCATCAGGGACTAAGAGTCTCCAAGTTGGAATTTCTTGCCTGACAGTGACACAGCCTGAAACCCTGCCACTTTGCCACCCAAAAGAGCACAACAGAGTAGAGGGAATATTAAAGTAGTAGTAAAAATATTGCAAAGAGAAAGAGGCTGAAACAAATTTGAAACATGGTTAATAGCCTGAAGCCTGTGGAAATTATTATAAGTTTTCAGGATTTTATAATAAAATGTTTAAGTATGAGTTTAACAAAACAGCATTGTGCTTATGGACATTAATACAGTTTACTTAAAAATAAGCTTACAAATCCAGCACAGTTGTCGCAAAACGTAGGCTTTAAGTAAGTGGTTTCTTGGAAGTTGTGAGCAAAGCCAAGACCTAATTTAGAATAGATGGAGCTGGCCCTCATAAAGTAAGCTGTTATTTCTTCCCTGCTAATCAGACCTTCCCTGCAAATAAACAAGAGAAATGGTTAATTGGGACCCTGTTTTTCCAGCAGCACAAGGAAAGTAAACTACGTCTTCTCTCACCCCCTGCTTACAGTAATTGCAATCCTTTTCATGGCCATAAATGTCAACAATAATCAATAACACTGCCAAACTGTTCAGGAACTTGTTTATATACAAATTAAAAGGCAGTCTGTAAGAATTAGCAAAATAGCTTCATGTGAGATTCAACCTCACCATTTCATAAAGCTGTGTACAATTACTGAAACAAAGAAGGAACAGAAGGAATCGTTCATTTCACTCTGAATTCAAACTGTTCTTTACAATCTCTAATGCAATGCAGAGAATGGTTTTTTGAAGAACAAGGAGGAAAGATACACAATAAGTGTTTCTAGAATTGCCAAATTTTCATTTTCCCTAAGCCTCTGGATGTTAAGCCTTTGCAGGCAAGAGAACTTTCAAGTAATGCCTTTTTCCATCATTTCAGGAATGTCTGGGTTAATGTACAATCATTGTGGCCAAACATAAGTTCACTGATCTGCTTCAAAGGGTATTTTTGTCTACATTTTCTTGAATACCATGTCCTGAGAGACTAATGATTTTACATTAGAAAAATGCTCAGTATAATTAATATATTAGTACTTAACGTTGCTCAATAAAATATTCTTTAAGATATTATACTAAAATCTGTCTGCAGCATATCAGTCTGTCATACAGCACAGAACTAATTAGTACTGCTATAGGTAGGTATGCCCTTTACTACTACCCCAAACAATGCTTCAGTGAGTTATGTTTCTGCTTTCAGTCTTAGAGGGGGCAGGACAATTTTAATATGTAATGGTCATAATAAAAAGCTGTTACAAAATGTAAATGCAGAAGCAAATGCAAAAGAGAAGCTCGCAGGCACACACCTGTCTTTGTCCATTACGCAAAATGAGAACGGAAAGCTTGCTGCAATCTTTTCAAACTCTTCTTGAGAAATGTATCCATCCTGATCATGGTCATAATTTTTGAAGACAGACTGGATAAGATAATAACAGAATTACAATGAAGCAGTGGCAGCCAAATCATCGTGTGTGTGTGTGTGTGTGTGTGTGTGTACACATAGTCTCTTTATTTGTTTATTTATATACTCATACACAATTCCAGACTTTGTTTTGGATTCATACTGAGTATGTGTGCACGTGTACGCGTCTGTGTATATATGAAAGAGAGAGTCCAAAACAAAATCTCATATTGTTTCTTTAAAAAAAACAATTTTTTGAATTGTTTCCTTGAAAACAATTCAAAAAACATATTCACTGCCTGCCCTGGTTAAGTCTTCAGAAACATTATGCATTCTTGATTGGCATTAAAAGAACAAGTTAAATCTAAAAAGCTTGAGTTAAATTCTGTACTGATTTATAGCCCATGAATTCCCACTGACTGGCTGTCGTGGCACTTCTCTTCCACAAATCCCTCTCACTCACTCTCTAAGTCACTCTGGCCTGATCTGCATTCATACAATTGGTGCCAATATAACTGCCCCCTTCAGCAGAAGCAGGTGTACATCCACACATGCCTTAGGGACCTTCCTTCTAGGAACTGATGGCCTCTACTGTCATTTTAAGTATTCTGATCCAGGCAGAAATAACTGGGAAGGAAGGAGGGTGGAAGTGTCTTTCCATTCGTTATGTAGCCACAGCCCCACCAAAAATGCAATTTCCCATTTTTCATGCATTTTCTCTTTGGATTTTTTCCCCTTCTCCCAAACCCCAAAACCTCCTGACATTGTCTTGCTTTGGATTGCTGGGCACCCACCATCTCTTCAAATCCCCTTTTCCCCCTCTTTAAAAATACTTACTAAATAGAATCATAGAAAATTAGGGATGGAATGACCTCAGGAGGTCATCTAGGCCAATCCCCTACTCAAAGCAGGACCATCCCCAACTAGATCATCCCAGCCAAGGCTTTGTCTAGCCGGGTCTTAAAAATCTCCAAGGATGGAGATTCCACAACCGCTTTTGGTAACCTGTTCCAGTGCCTTATTACTTCCACAAGGCTATGGACAAGAGTAATGTTGCTTGCACATGTGCAAGTGCAATGGCGTACATGCACTTAACAGAAAGAGCTGGATGAATTTTAAATACCTGAATATAACATATTGTAGCATATCTTGCATGTGTAGGTCACCCACAGTCATTTATCCTTGGCTACATTCTCAATTCAGTGTAAAAAAAAAAGTGAGCCTGTACACAGTTGCAATTAAGTCAGTGGGATTGCTCATATACTGAAGCATCTTGCAGAATCAAGATATATGGGCCCAATTCTACAATCCTTGCTCCTGTCAAGTGTCATTGAGTTCAGCGGTACTATGCATGAGTACCAATCAGCGTAATGGTTAGTATCAGGCCCTAATTTTTAAGTTAAAAGTTATCTTAGCTTAAACCTGAAATTCTCACTGCCAAACATTTCATAAACACCTCTGTAAAACATACCATATTAAAAAAAAAATAGCAATCAGTAAGCATATGTAATGCAAACACCTGAGTCTCTCAAACAACAGTGTACGTAGTAGATTACTTCCTTCATACTGTCACTGCAGTGTTACCTGCTACCATTATGCTTTTAAAAATGTAGTATTCTGAATATTACATTTACATGCAGCTTTGAATATGTCAACTTTTTAGGACACAGCTCCTCATTACATACTTTACCAGATACAACTAAAAAATTAAACAAAAAAATATACATTAAATGGGCTGACCATACTTACATCCACCATTCTCTGAACATGCTTGCTGATGGTCTTTGGATCGGGTTTTGGAGCAACACCTGAGGCCCAGTCCGCAACTACTGGTGGTTTGGAAGGTGTCAAAGGCTAAAATAAATATCATGGAAACTTATCATAACATCAAGTATTTTTAATCCCTAGGTTTTTCACCTTAGCTAATTGGAACATAGGAATTACTACAGAGGATCAAACTAATGGTCCCTCTAATCCAGTGATTCTCAGCCAAGGTTCCACAACACCCTGGGGTGCCTTGAAATCTTTTCAAGGATGCCACAGGGTACTACACAGTTTAGCACTGTTAGATTTATAAACATGACTCACAGGATAAACCCAGAGATTTCAAATAGAAACCCATACCTGTGGCCTTTCTTAGTTATTTGCACCAGAAAAACTGCTCTATTTATTTTTCTGTAGTAAAAAAAAAAGTGAAAACTAAGAGCTATTTCAGAGGAAGGCCTTGAATGGGGTGGCCAGTCATTCCTAGATGCTCTTCCCAACTTGTTACAATTTACCGATTATCTCAGTTAACTGTAGGAGTAATTCAAATGTGTAATTACTCCCTCACAGGCATGGTGCTTTATATTTTTTTATTGATGACTATCATCTGCCATCTTTTTGCCCCCTTTTCCCTCTGAAATCTGTCACAATATTTTTACAATCTTAACTAACCTAAATTATGACACATCATTCTCATTTTCTAGATGGATCAGGTCTTAGTATGAAGCTTTAGTATGGTGTAGCATAGCATTAATATGGAGCCTCTGATGCCACATGGTTTATGATTGCTTATATCTGGCTCTGTTTTCTATTCAAGTTTCTCCTCTATGACAGTATTTTTGCTTCATCATATAAGTATTTAATCTCCTTTGCCTCTTGTTAGGAACTTTGAGGCTTCTTGATCTGTTGGATTGTAACACAGTTTTACTTTGCAGAAGCTGTTTAATCCATATGTTATGGTCAATGTGGTGGTATATAATTCTATTTTTCAGTATTTAAACCAATTTAAGGGAGGAGAAGAATTTTTTTCCCACTGTTAGTATAATTCAGTCCTGTATATTTTGATTAACAGTAAATCAGTTTTATACAACATAAGTTACTTTATTTTCCACAAAGCTATAAAAATAGCAAATAAATATTTAAAGAAAAACTACCATCTGATTACTGGAATTATGCAAGAACTATTTATTTAGAAGACTTAATGTTTAAAATCAAAGGGATAAGGACTGGTGTCTCTGCTCATGTTAATAAAAGTCAAGAATAATGCTAATTGAAAAAAATGGTGTTACACTGGCATATGACATAAGCAAGAGAAGAATCAGGCCTCTAATATAGAGAGTGATTACTATTTAAGCTTCACTCATATTCACTTTGTCTGTAATGTAAAGATGTATTAAACAATGCCATGCCTCCATGTATTGTGGCTTAAATTAAAGTGAATATAAGGAATTAAAGGTACACATTACTGTCCTTAAATCATTTTGTTAAAATTTTGGAAAGAAAAAAGGTCTCTTACTGCAGCTCGGTGACTTCTTGGCTCTCGAGCATATGAAAGCTCATAAATTTCATCTTCTGTGTAGTAAAGATCGAGGGACAGCTGAAAGTGAACATAAAACTGGTTTAGTTTCTAAGCAGTTACTATTGTTCCCTGAATTTATTTGTTCCTGGCTCACCTGCAATCTCCTTGAAAATTAACAACTATTTTAGGTGTTGTTACAGAAACATGCATTTGAAGACACTTATTCAAGGTATGGATGTTGATGCCAAGTTGACATCTTAGCATTTCAATCTGCTTTTCTTATTACCTGAGAGAGCTTGCCTAAAATCACACAAGTATGATCACTAACACAAGTACATTTAGATATCTGTAGTTTACAGTGTGCTCACAAGTTGTTCCCATGACATAATAAAAAACAAATATAGCGCTTAGGAAAAAACACCTGAACTTTCTGAAACAGAACTAGCTGAACATTTTATGTTTTCCTGTATTTTTTATTCCAGCAGGTATCAGAGAAGTTAAAATTTCCACTCTTAGTAGCTCATTCATTTTGGATATTCTTGTTCCATACTTGAAGAATCTCTCATATACTTCCTCTGATTAGATGGTCTGTTATAGACTCCCACCATAGCATCACTACTGTTCCATTTCCCCTTTATGTTCACACAGTTGCATTCATTAGCTCTCATTCCCTTTTGGACCCTGGAACAAGCATATACATCCTTGACACACAGTGTAATGCCACCTGCTTCTTTTTCCCCTGTAACTTTTCTGAAGCACTTAAACAGAGTATACTGTACAGACATCAAAGATAACTGCTGTTTTTCCTCTTGCACCTGTTTAACCGTATTATGGTTCACAAGAATTTAGCCCCCTTTCCCAATCCTCATTTTTTATCCTAAGTACACATCATCCAGTGGGTTTTTGTTGCCACCCCAATGGAATCTAGTTTAAAGCCCTCCAGATTGCCAGATTAGCCAGATGATGTCCTAAGATTCTCTTCCAAAAGCTGATCTTTGTTAGAAGTATCTTATCCCTGCACAGCAGTACTCTTTGTCAGAACATCAATCAGTTGTCAAGGAAGCAAAAGCTTCACTGATACCACCTTTGTAGCCATGCATTTTGGCTTTTATTATGTGATATTGTCATACTATATACCACCCTCCATGATCATTATTGCTGGGATACTGTATTATTAGTTTCCAGTATGTGGGATGAGAGCCTCACATTTTATACCCAGTTATATGAGGAAACTCTCTCCTTAGACTAGAATTTTGTTCTTGCACCACACACAGACCGAGTATCAGACCACTGTGTGTCTGCCAGAATCTTTTAAATTCAAAAGGTTGCTAACCTTATTATATAGAATCCTCTCCATTACGGCTTTCTTGGAATTGTTTTTATTGGATAAACTTAGTGTATATCATTATATGATGCCTGTAATCATCTCACCTCAATGCACTCATTGCATATCATCACCATCATCATATTACTAGGTAGATGTTAGGGAGCAGTGGCAGTGATCAGTTCCCATCACAATATGAGTTTAGCCCCTTTGCAGGGTAAAGAGTCAGCTTGCTCTTGTTAGGACCTTTCCAAAAGCATGAAGATTCTGGGACTTGTAATCCAGTAATCATGGGAGCTGTAGGCTGCTAACACTGTGCTGAGGATAAAAAGTCATCCCTTGGTGTAGAAGAGATCAGGAGGATGGTAAGATTGGTTTGAGTTTCTCTTTTAAGGAGGAAATCAGATGTGCTTAAGAGGGCTGGAGATGACCTGAACAATGGATTGTTTGGGAGTCCCATGTGAAGAGGAGTGAGCCCCTGAAATAAAGGTAAGAAATGGCTACACCAGCCCTTTTGAAGAGGTGATGTTTTCATTTTTCTGCCTTTTTTTCCACTGGCTTTCTGTATCCTGGAAAAAATAGAGTTCTTGGCTCAGTCAGATGGCTAAACAACCCAACTACCAGGGTAAACTGTGGTGCAGCTAAAATCTGGTGCTGGGGAAACTGAAGTGCAAAACAGCTGTGAAGCTGGAAAAGAATTAGCATCCTCAATAGGCCCTGGCAAACCAGGCACAGGGGCTGTGGGCATAGAGGTATATTGCTTCACTGCTCTTACCCATGTGCTCTTTGCTGATGTTTTTAGCCAAAGTTCATGAAGCGTTGGTAGCTGCATCACAGAGCCGAAGAGGGGTTCTGTGAACAGAGAGAAAAGCCTGGTGCTGCCATGACCAATTTTAGAAAGGGATCATCCTTGTACCTGCCGGGATTCTAGTAAATAAATTTGTCGACCGTTCTTAGACACTGGTTTTCAGCTAATACAGGAGGATAGTCACAAGAATTAATGTTTAATGTGTACATGCAGGTGTTCACAGTAAAAATCAGATTCAACAAGTTAGGCTTATGTAATGCACTAGTGAGTGTGTCCTACAGGTCTCACTCTGTGACTGTTTTGCTGAAAATATGAACCTAGAACAACCCCTGCTAAAGAGATTTAGCTCAAGCTATAGCAGCTCATGCTGTTAGCTCTGTTAGCCCCATGTATTAGCCAAGATGATGGCCATCATATTTGTACAAAGCATGGAATAGAAATACATTCTAGTTCCAGGTACTGAACATGTGCAACTAACTGCTCATTAACAGCCTACATCTAAAACATTATTACTACAGTCATTATAATGAATAATTTCAAATAATCAGGCAACCTTAAACAAGTCTCTGACATTCAGAAAAATAGGAAAGACCAAATGTGTCAAATAAGGTATTTTCCTATGAATTATTCACTCATCTTTGAAGTTATACTTGCCTCTTCAAACTGACATGTGCAAGTGCAGAAGTGTATGGGTAAAAGAGAGAAAGGGTGGATGATACTGTGAAACTGAAATAAAAGGAGGCTAGCCTGATGACAGACAATACTTCAAGTGAAATTGCCGGGATTCAAGAAGAAATTGCTGTTATAGCAGATATCACGTTTGTATAGGGTGTAACCTACTCCAAAAACCATCTTCAGACACACAGATAAAACAGACAGTCATGGAAAACAATCATCCTCGACTGCAAGAGATTGCCAACAAAGACTCAGAAAACACCTACTGTTCTTTCAGTAACAGAAGTTTTGCACTGGAATTGTGAAAGATGGAAGTTTCGAACACTACTAATGCATAAAATTATTTTGGCAAAACTATTTTTGGGAGAAAGTTCAGGGATGTTAGATACATTTGTGTTGCATGTCAATTGATTTAACTCAGTATCCTCTCAGTACCACTGTGCTGGCAAAGACAGTCTACGACAGTGGTGTTCAAACTTTTTCCCCGAGGGCCAGATGGACAATGCCCAGTCAGTCCAGGGGCTGGATCTGGCTGGTAGTCCTGATCCAGCATGCAGGGAAAGCACCATCCACTCCCATTGAGGGGGATAATCTAGCCCCAACTCAGCCCCACAGGGAAAGGGAATATGGCCTTGTGGGTGGGGGGACATAGCCCAGCCCCAACTTGGCCCTGATCCAGATATGGAGGGAGTGGCATGGCCCAGCCCTATGTGGGGAGCTGTGGCCCAGCCCCAAGTGGGGAATGAGGAGGGAGGAAGATATCACGGCCTGGCCCCAATCCAGCCCTGATCCAAATGTCGAGGGAGGGGGCACAGCCTGGCTCCAACCGGCTGTGCAGGGCTTGGGATTTCAAAATTTGGTGGTGTGAGATGGGAAGGGTGGCCTTATTAATGGCTACTGTTCCTCTGACACCAAATTTCCTGACTTGGGAGGAGCCCCGTGGGCCAGGTTCCAATGCTCCACAGATTGAATTTGGCGTGCAAGCCAGAGGTTGAGCACCCCTGGTTTAGTAAATACTGAAATCACGCAATATAGCATAGTACCAGATCATCATTACTGGTGACAAACAATTTAATTAAGAGGTGGGGTGCTTTTAGCCCAACACATCTCACAATGCACCTTTTGCGAGAGTTCATAGTGATTTCAGTAACACTCATATAGACCCTTTGTAACAGGGGCCAAGCCCTATTACTGAGAGTAATAGGCAGTAGACAGAGGTTATAGGCTGCAGAGCCCTAGGTAATGAACAGATGGCAGTTAATAAGATAGTTAATTAGAAGGGGGAGGAGCCAGGGGCTACTGTATTAGGCCTGCATCTGAGGCAGAAGGCAGTCAGACTTGGACAGAGCTGGAGGAAAGAGCTCACTGCTGGGAGCTCTGCAAAGCACTGTGGGGAAGTGGAGAACGGACCCTGACTGTGCTGATTGAAGGAGCAGGGCACCCAAGGCCACACTGCTTCTCTGGAGGCAAATTCTCAGAGTATAATAGTACCATCAAAAGCACAGCAGGTGAGGACAGGGAGTACCAGGGATACCATAGGGTTAGAGTGAGATTCGAGTGGCCACAGCAGACACCACCCATGCCACCAGCAATGGATCCCGTTACACCTTCTAACATACTCAAAAGCCCTAAAGAGCCTACAACTGTCTAGAATGTCTAGGCAACATTGCCAAAAATTAGAAGGGGAGTCCATGGGCCATGTACCACCTCCTAGCCCACCAGGGATCCATGAAGCACAGTTTGGGAATTGCAACTTTAGACAATTGCAGACAACCCCCGCTTAGCACTCTTAATTGGTTCCTGAAAAAAATGTGTGTTAAGTGAAATGAGTGTTAAGCAAAATCAAAAGTATTTGATGACCCAAGATGGCGACCACAATTGTTTTTAATGACCCAAGATGGCGACCTCGAGCACTGCAATGAAACTCACTGAACGCTAAGTGAAATCAGGTATCAATCTAAAATGAGCGTTAAAGCAAAACAGCACTAAGCGAAACAGC